GATGGATGGGTGGATGGATGGGTGGATGGATGGATGGATCAAACACAACAACCAACTTACCTTATCTCCTCCTCCTTTGCCTTTCTTGCCTTTTCCCTTCTTGTCCTTTTTATCTTTCTTATCTTTTTTATCCTTTTTCTTCTTTCCCTTTTTCCCTTTCTTTCCGCCTTCCTCTTCCTTGACACCAAAAAACCATATCAACAACAGTTAGAATTGTTTTTAAACATGGACAATTTCCTGAATTGAAAACAGAACAGGTACTCACCTTCTGAGCTTCTTCTTTCTCCATCTGTCGATAAACAAACCCAACAAAAAGATTAGATCTCAACACAAATATTAGGTAAATACAATAGATACATACTTTCATGAATATACTCACCTCTAGGGGGTCTTTTTCTTTAAAGATTGCAGCTGAGCCTCCTTCATCTTCGTCAGGGTAATCAGGGAACTTGCCAGTTTTGTCCCTAAGAAATATAATCATTGTTCAATATTAACTGGTATGGTAGGTGTGGGATCAAAACTAGTGGTCAATCAACCAAGATACTTGGATACACTTATGGCCGATACAGTGGACATACCTGCATTCTATGAACCATTGTCGTATCTGGTCTTGCATGTTTTCTTTCATGTCTGGGCCTTCAATCTCTCTGATCTTTTCCTTGATGGACACCAGACCCTGAAGATAATCATAAGATGTATAATATAAGATGCAGGTGTAGGTATGTTGCACATTATTTTACAGCCAGGTTTTATGTTAACAAGACAGTGTTACCTGTTGATATTCTCGTTCATGTTCTTCTTGTATTACTCTTCTGTGTTCCTACAACGACAAACCAGACATTGTCAGCGTGAATGTATTAAAGTACATCCTGAAATTAATACATCTATATATTTAGCAATTATTCGCCGAAGGCAAAGTGAATATCGGGGAATATTTACCAAGACGCGAGTCTTCGAGCGGCGAGGTAAATATTCTCCATATTCACTGAGCCTGAGGCGAATAATTGTTTTAGCATATACCAACTTGTGTACAAAGTAACTTATTTTCATATACGATAATTCAATAAAAACAAACAGAAACTTTTAGTTTGCGTGACAAATTCACGCAAAACTTTTAGCAAAACTTTTAGCAAAACGTTTAGGCCATACTTGGTTGTTTTTTTAGTATTGATAGGAATGGCATTTACTCTCATTTTATTCAATTTCCTCATCGGAAATTGTAGCAAAACAATTGCCGGCAGATGCCATTTTGTTGCCGACTCAATATTCCGAGATTCAGAGGTGAATATCGTACAATATTCACCTCCAATTAACCAATGAGCGCGCGCGTTCTTAGGAAGTACCCAAGTTGGTATATGCTAATAATGTGTAGTTTCAGAAATTATCCGTTCCAGGGGGATATTTTTTCAAGTCTGCATTATTTTGTTGAGCCTGTCCTGTCGGTAGTAAAAATACAATGTACCTCAGTTTTCTCTGCTTTATGTTTCATTGTATTCTTCCACTCCTTTGCTGCTGGGGATGCCTATAGATACAGTATAATTGAGTAATACATCTTTTATCTTTACTGGTCTGGGGATAAATTGATGTGATCATTATACAAAGATATTACCATTCCAACAAAGATGAGCTCCTCTTCTCTCATCTGCCTTGTTTTCTTTCTCTGGGAGAATCCCTTCCATATCTACATGTAAGTAATAGATAGACAGATGAACCACAGTCAGTCAGACAGACAGTACATGGAATATTGCAGGTGAAAGAGAAACAGAACTTGTAGCACTTAAATAGGGTTAGGACATAACATGGAGGGAGTGGGTGGGGTGGGGCTGAGCCCACTGAACCCTGAACCTGTTCCAGAGTAAAATCGCTGAAAATCATACCCTGTTCTGGTATTGCGAAAATGGATATCCTGTACGCTTGTAATTGTTGTAAGTAATGAATATGCATAACATACTTTTTGTATTTTAGTAGCAGCAATATCTGGGTCCATCGTTGGTGCACCTCGTAACTGGGCTTGTCTCTCTCTTTCTTCTTGTTGTCTTATCAGTCAAACAAATAGAATGTTTATTCATAATATATGCCATATATATATAACAAAATTGGTGTGTAGAACTTAAAAAAAAAGTAAAGCTAAATTTTACTTCAAAAACGTGGGGAGTGGTTTTACAATTATTTTCCCGAGCCAGCACTTATGTATACAGTGCTCAAAGGTGCACCCTATATCCCCTCACTCTATCAGTCATCTTTATTACAAGTATTTAAAGCTGTAACTACACAGAACAAAGAGAAGCTGAATTAACAGACATGGAGATCCTGAGTATGACAGAAAAAGAACATTTGATAGTATTATTTACATACCTTATTTCTCTCATGAATTTTGCTCTTAGTCTACCTTGCCGCGCTCTTTCATGAACCTACAAACAATTAACAATGATTAATACCTGGTATAACTGCTGCTTTAAGTAGTCAATATTAATCCAGTACCATTATCACTTGATTCAGACAATATCAACAATATGCACTATTAGGGAAATAATGGGCCTATTTTGAGCCACGTCAAAATATTTAATTCTACCCAGACCGAAGGGTTCGTCATTTCCGGTCTTAAGTATAGTCGGTTTGTATAGGGTTACATTCAACCTCGTGTGTAGCCTCAGTTGTATATCTTAGCCTTCGGTGCGGACATATTTTCCCACCCTCCCTCCCTTATGGAGGCTTGAGAAGTTTATAACCAGGCCTTAATTTTCGTCTGTTGGATTAAACTTCTCATTGTGCCAAACAAAGGAGTGTTGTGTCATTGTTTCATATTAGTTTTGTTTATTGGGGTTCTATGAGTAGAATTATTAAGAGTAGGTCTCTGTAAGACTCAAGCAAAGTGGGAAATGAAATTTTTTGACCACCCTTGAAATTTGGTGTGTGAGTAGGCCTTTATATGGGATTCACAAAAACAACAACAATTTGGTCACCAAATGTATTGTTGCCATGGAAACGGCAAGTGTTTTATGACACCTTAATTTCCAATTTTTGGAATAAATTAAACCCACTCGAAGGTAAAATTCAATGCTGTGTTTCTCATACATGTTAAACTTAATTTCCTTA